GGATTAGGGTTTGGGAAGTGTTTTGAGGTGTAAAATCTTTTTACTTAGAGATAATGCGTGCATAGTGTCAAATACCATAGGTGGATTTTATAATGTCGATTATAATTATTTATTTTATTAATTTTAATTTAATAAAAAAATTATTTAATAATAATTTTTATTTTTTGTACCAGTTTTTATTATTTTTTAATAATTTTAAATATATATAACTTTGACATTTAAATGCTTTAAAAAATTTTAACCGATAAATTTGAGAGCTAATAAAAAAAATATTAGTTAATTTTTTAATATTTTTAAAAATTTAAATTTATAGTTATAAATAAACTTAGTAAATTGAATAAGGTATACCATATATTTAATCAAATAATTTATAGTTAAAGAAGAGCTTAGTTTATATTAAATTTTGCAAAAATTTTTTAAGTTACAAAGAACCTTTTTTTTTCAAAAAAGTGTCTATATTGCACCTAATCCATTACTTTTATTGGTACCGATCATTCAAAGAGATCTAATTGGTGCATCTTTCACGATCCTCATGGGACGAATAGACTAGCAGCAAATTTTGGTAAAACAAAATTTTTAGATACGACATATTGGGATAAGGTTAAGGCCTTGATGTTTGTAATAAGAATACTCCGCGATTTTGATATAGCGATCGATAGGGATCAGGGAATTTTTATAGTAAAATTTCGCAGGAATCACTTTTAATTAAATAGTTCGCAAAAACCGGTTCGAAATTTTATTGGGAATATTCATGTGATTTTCTGACGCTAATCTATTCTCACGGGCATTTTTAATAACAAAAAAGAAAAAATAAATAAATTTGAAATTATATACTCTATTTAAATTTTCTAAATAAAAAATATTCAGAACCAAATATATATAATCATGTGTAAAAGTAGTTTTGGGATGTCTTGGTATGCCTGGGTTTTTGGACGTTGGCTAAAGAGCTATGGACATCAAAATGTACAACACTCGCCAAAGTATTCAAACAACACAAATTTGATAAACTGAACATCACTGGTTTAATTTAATATTTTCGTTCTTATTTTAAAAATGTTTAACACGTCGATAATTAATACACAAAATTTAATTTTAGAGATACCAATCTTAAAACTTTGAAGCCTAATAAAGGGTTAATTGGTTGCATGATTTATATTAAAAGTTTTGTAATTCTAATATTTATATCGATTTGAAAAGAATTATCCAATTTACCGGGTATTTTACGCATTACGGTTGCTTATAGGTGCATTTTGCACAACGTTTACTATAACGTTAATTTTTAGGATTCATAAATTTAGTGTAACACCCGTAAATGACCCGCAACACTACGCACGATAGATTAACGAATGTAGCAATTAAGTGTGAAAATAGACTAAAAACTGGGTACAGATTGAGTAATTGTAATGTTACACACACCTGTATGGATCTGAATGAGGACCATAAAAATTCACTATTGATCACTAATCGTCAGTCAATGAAGACTTGCGCTTTTAATCTTTTTGAGAATTATAAAGGTTTCTTGTACAGGTTAGTTTTTTTTTTTTCTTTACTTTTCCTGAATTCGACATGATATTAAGATCATTTCATTTTTAAAAGCTAAACACTGAATTTTTTCTTGTTTTTTGATCAAAATCTTTTAATTTATTTTTATTTATTTATTTTATTTTATTTTATTTTATTTTTCTTAACGACGTACCATCAATGTAACAAAAAAAATATATCTGATCATTTCATTTCATTTATAATCGTTTTAGTCTATCAAAACGTCAGACAACATTGCCAAAATTCACATAATCGATCATCTTGGGTCTATCGTGTGCAGTAATCACTTTTTTTTTTTTTTTTTTAAAAAAAAAAACCCCGATTAATTCTTTTTTCGTCTATCCATTCAGCCTTTGTTGTAATACCTTTCATCAGTCACGATATACGTATAGTTAAAGAATAACTTCTTAGACATTACAATTCATTCATGGAAAAAACACAACCTGCACCTTATCTGCCACCGGAGACTTTGGTAGAGATCTTTAGTATTGTTGGAGAATATAATATAAAGTCATTATATCCTTGTCTCCTTGTAAATAAACTTTGGTGCGAGAGTGCTGCGTTGATGTTATGGAAAAAACCATTTGAAGTGACTTCATTAAGAGCTTCAGCTAAATTAGTCAGTATATATTTTTTATTCTTCTCTAAAGAGACGTTACTTAATATCGATGGAATAGATGTATCTCATCCAACATTACAACATCCAAAAATGGATTATTTGGCATATTTAAGATATGTTGACTTCAATATGGTGTATCGTGCCGTACGCATGTGGGTTAGCCATCAAACATTGAATGAGCCTTTTCATTTAGGGCTCAAGAAAAGACAAAGCAAACAATCGAGTCGTATTGTGGAGGAATTAGGAAAACTTTTTACAAATAGATCTTCATTATATAAAATATCACTTAACACCAGCGCTTTGGAAGACATGCCGAAAGATGAAGAACCGGATTATAAATCATGGCCATGTTATTCAGCACGCAATTCAATGAGTGAGCTT